TTGAGATCAGCAGAAATAACTGCAGCTGTCTGATTTTTTTAAACAGAGAAAACAGGTTATTTTATACATCTCTGTTATAGATTTTTCTGTGTACATAATGTGACTTATGGGGTTTTTCACCAAACATTGTCAAAACGTTATGATCTGATAATTTCACCATGCCTTGATGTCACTAGTCACACATTTAGCTGCAACATTTGATCACATGTATGACAGAAAAAAACCCACAGTGGTTTTATAGCAAAAGGCATTTGTGTTCCTGAATTGTGGCCGACATGTAATTATAGAACTTTGGGGGGAAGAAACATGCTTACACTTATTCAGCGTTTCCTGAAATTACTAAACAGAAGTTTGTTATTTCAGCAAAAAATTAAATATCCGAGAAAACATTGGTACAGGTTGAATTAACTTGTTTAGAATTACTAGCAAAGAAGTTGAAAAGACATCTTAAAAAGATGAAGCCTGTTGGGACAAGTCTGCAATGGGTTGGCCTTATATTACATTTCTTAAAGGGATTTTCCTTTCAATGACGCATCTCAAAAACCAAAAACAAGCACAGAAGCCGACTTTTCAATAAAAGACTAGTTCAGGCAGAAAATCTCCAGCATAATTTTCTTATTATATAGGACAAAAATGTATCAATGTTCATCTAAATATAAAAGAGACCTACGTCCAGGTGGTCTTTTTTCTAATGCTAATTCTATTGGCAAGCTGGTGCTAAACATTACTGGTAAATCATTTAAAAGACCATACAAATTGTAACATGTTCTTGATAACATCTTGAAGAGAATAGTCAGATTATAAATGGATTATAGTGTATTTTAAATGCTTCCACGCATAAACAACATTGTACATTTTATTTTGCTCCATCTCTTCTGTAAACGGGTGCACTGCAAGAAAATGGTTTCCCAAAAGAGATTAATAAAGTAATTCTGATTCTGAAAAGTCTAAAATATGTTTTTTTTTTTTTTGCTTTTTTAATCTCTAGTTTCAATGTTGCTGTAAAACAATCAGAGTTACAGCATGTCCCCCAAGTGGACCCACAGCATCAATTATGGATGATGCACTTCAATACACCGTAATGCATCTAGGTTTACTTTAGGCTTTGAAACACTAACCTGCGCGTTCAGGAAATCAACACAAGAGGCTAAACTACAGACAATATCTGTAATCCTCTTATTCCTGTTGATTAGCTAAAAAAAAAAAGTTGGAACAGTTTAGCATCCATTTTCCATTAAAAAATGTTGGCTGCAAGCTTGGAGAAGTCTAAGAGTTTTTTTTTTTTTTTTACATATTTACAGTTGCACTGTTTGACTTGCTCCGCCCTACCCACGACTATCAGCCAAATCCACAATGCTGCTCATCTGCCCTAACACTAACTCATTTATCTTCTCCCTGGAATGCTGTGATATCACTGAAGAGCCACAGCCAGAGCTGAACAATAAACTGATAGAGACTACAGGGTTCAAATGGACCGGTTTCAACCCAAGCAGCAAACAACATATCCCCTTTTACTGCACCCACACCGATGCTGATAATCTATGCACATTTGAAGACTTGTAATATAAGGAACTAATGAAGAATTTCAGAAAGACTATAAAACTAAATGTTTCGATTATAAATTTGTATTCACATCCATCCATTAGTTTCAGTGTAACATAAAAAGATAACAATAAAACCCCAATTACAGCAGACAAAAAAACATCCTAAATACCACTTCAGCAGAGGCCAGCTGCAAGTATGTCCACTGTTATTTCAACACGTGTTTCGATTAGGATCTGAAACAGACATCTATTGATAAATAAAGGGGAAAGAGGCGTTTGAATTAAAAAGATGTGCTAAGGAGCTTGTGATTGATCATGAGACATGAGTCATGTCCTGCTGTATGAAGCTGGACTTGTTAGTTTCATTTCCTTTTAGACTACATAACATCTACATCTTCAGGTATGTACATAGTTCCTTTCTTTTGTCTAGCAACGCAATCGCAAACCATAAAACAGATTACTTCAAAGATATCCTTAATGAGGTCAAAGGGAACCATTTGGTAAAGTCAAACTTCCTGTAGTTTCTTTACAATCACATAGGACTCACTTATGACATTTTGATCTTCATTTTTCCATGGCTGTGTAAGCCTCTGTTTGATAGTATCATAAGTAAACTATTTGAGCAAGCCTTGCCTTATTTTTTGAAATTGCCAACTAGCCAAGCACTCACGCATACCAACTCCAAAGTGCAAACATTTGGAATAGGACTGTGACCAAGGAAAATCTGGGTGGACACCCCAAGCTGGAAAAACATTTAAAAATAAATTAAATGACATAAAATAAATGACTACCAACAATTATACTTAAACTTCTTATTAGTATGGCAATGGACAAATATTGGTGCACATAAGATGAACTGGATTAAAATAACTCTTCAATGATATACACATTACATGCATTATGACTACATAAATCTCACTCCACAGTAAAAAGACTTTTGGGTGCATTGGAGAAATTGGAATTTTGCAGTTCCACTCTAATAATATTTATAAAAGTCCTTTTCAACACATCATTGCAGCCCCGAATTTGGAACAATATGAAAAAGTACACTATTTTTACAAATACATGTGGTCCAAAAATGTGATTTGGACATTATTATTCATAATATTATAGTTAAGTTGTCACCATCTGCAAACTCATCAGAGATGTGAAAACAGAAAATAAAACAATTAATACACAATCTTAAATAAATTCGCCTAAAAATATGTAAACCAAAATTTCCCTCTAAAATTAACTCTTGTAAATATAGTGTATTAGAGCATGAAGTCAACCCCTGTATTGAATTTGCCATCTAAATCATTAATTACAAATAGCTTTACATATGAATACATACAATATATATATACATACAATATATATATATATATATATATATATATATATATATATATATATTATAAGATCCAATAATCATTATTAATTACTCTTTATGAGCTAAAAAATGATAATACTAAAATATTCAGGCTAGGTTGGCTGGAATTGAGCTATAAATCACTGACATCTCCCTGAGCTTGGAGGAAAATCACGCCCACATGAGAAGAGAGGCAAAAAAAACAAAAAAAAAAACAAAGCAAAACGAACACTTTAAAAATGATAAATGTTATAATTTCAAAAACCTTTAATTTAAGGGTGCACAACCTTCGTATAAAATTCAAAGCAAATCAAAGCTGGTAATGGCAAAAGTTAGATATGCACAAGTGAAATTAGCCAGGACATTTACTCTTTTGTAGGATTGACTCTAAAGTGATCTACATGATAAACATTGGAAAACAAATGTCATCTAACAGTGTTAGAATCAGAGTGGTGTCTAACTTCTGCAAAAATAATATGGTTATGGTAACAAGATTTGATCCATGTCTTATATATTACCAAAAACATAACTATTATATCTAATCCTAATTTTACACATCTTTATTATACAAGTAGAAAAGTAAAAATTTAAACAGACATGGAAGATGTATCCATCTGAAGTCTAACGTACTCTACTCTTACACCCACTTTTTAAACTTAGGCTACATTTTAATCTCTATAAAGCAACTGCTAATTCTGCAAAAAAAAAAAAAAGTGTAAATCTAGTTGGGTTTCATTTGTTGCAGACATGTTGCATTTCCTTACTAATATTGATGCTTTGGGTATGTTTTGGATAAGCACGCCTACTTTTTAATGCAACATTACTGATGTATTAAAATATAAAACAGCTCACATGTATCTTGTTATAGGCTCTGCATGCGTGAAGGATAGCTGAGGGCATTAATGATCTTAGCCAAGCTCTAACTAGTCATCCTTTCATGATGAAACCCTGACAGTATAAATCTATAAGAAGCTAAAAGGCCACTTTGGTTATCTATATAGGCATGTAAAAACATCACCCCTTTTCTTTCTGCCAATATAGACCTCAATTCATGATTGTCGAGCACAAGCAGTACAATTCTCCAACTCTTGTTAAGTTTGTTTTTTAATCATTTGGTCGTTGCTGCTATTTAACCAATAAATCTCTATTAAAATTTCATTAGCAAGAAATATCCGATTACGTTGAGCAGAAGAATCTACCAAATTCCACAGACATGTCCTTAATAATACTAAAACTATTAAGCTTTTCAAATGCTGCAAAAAGAAAATATTAAAATATCTGAACTCATAAGTTGAAAAGCTGAAAAGGAACAGTTTGTTCAGAAATGTTAGCCAACGCTAGTAGTAATGCAACGGTTTTACGCAGTTGTTGTTCTGACAGCATCAAATAAGTTAGTTTCAAGAAAGAGTCAACTACCCATATCTAACACGACAGAAATACCACAAGGTTTAATTTTGGACATTATTAGATAAATTGTTCACAAATATTAAAAAGCAACTTACTTTGGTAAAATTGTCCACCGTCTCAAATAGAAGCTAGCAGTCAACACTGAGGATAGCTAACCTAGCTCTTCGGACAGTTTCTATCGGGAAACTCCTTTGTACTTTTAGTCTAAGGTCTGCCAACGATGTACAAAAAAAAAAACGCAACAAAAAAATAAAGTACTTCGTTCAATTATTTTCCTCGCTTAGTACAGATAAACATTCCTCCGCCACCGCGGTTAAGCCTGGCTGAGTAAGCCGGTGGAACCACTGTGGTCAACTAAAACCAGTACGACCGCAAGTTTAGTTAGTTCAGTATAGAAATGCTTACGTAGAAAGCGCCTGCTTCGTTCGCTTCTAGTCTTTGGTTGGGTTCTAGTTCGTTGGTTTCTATACAGCCTGCACTGCGCATGTCTGTAGCATGCAAAACAGCAACAGACACTCTTTTGTTATTTTCCCCTCTTCTATTAAAAGCCAAAGCTCATATTTCGCACAAACGACAAAAATTTATGTTTAGCATACTGTTCCAAGTTAATATTAGGGTAAGTAATACTTGTATCTTATAGCGTTTTCGTTTTCTTGAGGGATTTGTCGCTTTCTGATGACGTGCCTTTGACATTGGTATGGAGGAGATTACGACGGTTAAATGTGGTATATGTTAAAATTAGGCTTTTTTTTTACTCACTCTGATGCTCGAACATATATATTCTTTTAAAAATACTATTATCAAATTAATTTAGCCGTATTCACTTCCACTAGGTTAACATGTGAAGTTATATAATGCTAGCATTTAGCTTATTAGCTGCTAATCTTTTTCATTGTATTTGTAGCTCACTGAAGGAGTGCTAGTGTAATCATGGCTTTTCCACGATTTTCTCCGCTCCTCGCTCAGACCTCTGCAGTTTTTCAAAGAAATTTCAGGTAAGGATATCTTTAGAAAAAAATAAAGTTTGAACGTACAATCCAGGGCTGTCAACTCTCACCCATCCCGGTGTCTTACACTCTCACTCCATATTCCCAATTTCTCACTCTAAAAAATAACATTAAAACTCTTTTCCGTCCCAGTTATGTATTGTATAGTACTTGAATAAATATGAATAGAAATACAGCAGCTTGCCTAAATTATTGATGTGGAGACTGAGTGTAGGATCACATCTAATGGTTTGTTTTCTCTTTACCTGGTGCTTTTTTAGTCTCAGTTTTAGTCCATGTTTTGCTCAAGTTAAATAATTATTGCTCAGTCTAGTTTATTAATTTCCCTTTGGCATTTAGGTTTGCCTCTCAAACCCATAGGAGGTCCACAAAAGAGAAAAAGAATCATTGCATTTTATTTTTCAAAAGATCAGCCACCCGAGAAAAGACCAACCACATTCAGAGAGGATGTGTCGAGCAACTCATTTATCCTGGATTCATAGAGGAGGAACCACAGGGATGTCTTTTTTATTGCTTATCTTATTCATTTATCTTTATTTTGGTCCATTGAATATGTTTAAAAACTTAATTTCCATCACACCTTCCAAATGAAACATCCAGAAAAGTGCTGTCTCCTGTCATGGTGAGCTTTTGTCAATTTTAAGATTGATTGTAACTAATGACATAAAGAATTGAGCTTTTTAATCCTTAGCTTATTGCCATATAATCATACACAGTGTAGTTTGCATAGGTTTCGGTTGCACTGGTTCCTGTATTGGTGCCAGTCTTCTAGAAATAGCTTATTAGTTCCCTATTGTTTAATTTACTTGAACTGCAGAGAATAGTTAATGGGCAAAGTTGTGAAATTCTTAAAGTATATTTAAGATGCAAGTATTTTAGTAGGGCCATTCTGCTTTACTTCAGTTCTCTACAAATCACCGGAAAGGAGAAAATAATGTGTATCGTGAGAAAAAGTTTCCACATAACTACAGACCACTTATTGTTACTCAGTAACATTTACTGTGCTTTAAAAATTTCCTCTTTTGCCACTTTGTTTTGGTTAAATCCTCTGAAAACTTCCAACCTATAGCTGCATCTATCCTCATCTAAACTTGACAGTAAGTTTCCTGTCCAAACCATTTCAAAATCTCACCCCAAGGTTTGGTGATAAGTTGGCAGCCCTGTAGGGTATCCAATTGCACTGCTTAAAATGAAAAATTCCTGTATTTTCTAGTATTTTCATTTTGTTTTACTTTTTCTTTTAAAAATGATGCTGGAAATATTTGCATAACTCTTGAATTTTGCAACATTTTGCCAGGTTACAAACAAAAGCATAGTTTTAATTTGGCATCCCGACAGCGCTGTTCTGAAACACCTTTCCTAAACAGGAATGATGTGCTTTCTGTTTAATTCCAGTCTTAACGTTTGTAGGAGGGCAAAATTACTTGTAGGATTTATTTTTTTCCCCACTTACCTTTAATAAGAATCTTTTCCATAAAAGCTAGGTTGTGTACAGATTTTTTTTCCCTTGCCACACTGCAGTGTTCTACAGTTTCATCAGATTTTCTGACATTCAGGTGGGCGAATTAATCCAAAATATTAACACCAAGTTATCAGTCTTGGATGGAAGCTGTCATGGTGAGATTGATGCCTTAGTTTTAAATTGTTTTAATCTTGCATGCACTGCTGCAGATTGGTCCAAAAGGCATTAGCCTGTTATCATGTGTTCTGCATAAGGCCCAAAGTGAGGATTCCTATGATTTCTTTTTAATACATCATTTACTGTTTGACTCTTATGTACTTTTTCATTTTTGTAAAATCCAGAAAACTGCACTCAAAAGCAGAAATGTTATTTTTGTTCTTATATTTTATTTGAAACTTAGCTCGTGTCACACAAGAGGTTTTGATATCAAAACTATGTTTCACACTTTGTTTATTTAAGACATGGGAAGGAATATTACAACTACATCTAAATAGGTAATAGGTTTGATAAATCAAAATAAGAAAAAGAAACAGTGATACTGTTTCTTTATTTTTTTTTTTATTGATACCAAAATGAGTACTGCTGACCTCTAGTTACAATGTGCACTTACCAACTTGTCTTGATTTTGTTCCATACACTATATTTTACAGGATAGAGTTGACTGAGCTTCTTGACACCTGGAAATGTTAGATACTCCATCCTTGCTCTGAATTTCATTTGAGTTGTTTGATCCTTGGTCTTTATGATACTGCTTTATATCTTTTTCAGAGCTGCAGTAATATTTTGATTAATCGATGCAAAGATTATTTTTCCCCCTTAATTACGGTGACATTTAGAAGCAGTTGGGTGTACTAGATTCTCTTTAGGGGTACCAGTGTAAAGAAGCAAAACTCATATCCATGGCCATCTTTTCAGACTGATTTGATGGGGTATAAATATAAAAAAAAAAAAGTTTTATCAGGTTGCCACCATCAGGCGTTAGCACCATTATCCACCAATTGGTGTTAGTCTACCACTTAAAATCCCCAAATCCCAATAAAACAATGTTTGTGGTTGTAATAGCAAAAATTCAAGATGTGTACATATTCTTGTAAAGCATGAACTGGAACATGAAATACTTTTAAAAGCAGTAGAAGTTTCGCTTAGTTTCTTCTCAGTTTTCCTTGACTGATTTGCTTTTTGTCTTGCCAGCGTCTCTGCTGCTGCAGCTGCAATTCAGAAGATGACCAGAGTACGCGTGGTTGACAACAGCTCACTCGGAAATACGCCATATCACCGGCCGCCAAGAGTGATCCACGTCTACACGAAGAACAGTGTCGGGAAAGTCGGTGACAAAGTGTTGCTGGCCATTAAAGGGCAAAAGAAGAAAGCCCTCATCGTTGGACACAAAATGCCTGGAGATCGCATGACTCCACGCTTTGATTCCAACAATGTTGTTCTGATTGAGGACAATGGCAACCCTACTGGAACAAGGATTAAGGTCCCTATACCAACAAGTCTGCGTCAAATGGAAGGAGATTACTCTAAAGTTCTGGCAATTGCTAGCACATTTGTCTAATTCCATCTTGTTTGACATGTATACCTTTAGCTTTTGAATTTTCTTTTATAAAATGGAAAAGCTTTATTATTTTGCTGCCACCTATCAAGAATTAAAGTTTTATTTTACTTGTATTACATTTTACTGAGTTCTGATGTTTACAGCAAATATGACCTTCACCTGAAACACGGTCATCTGCTGCACTGCAGTTAAGTGGGTCAAAATACAGATTACAAAACACTTTTTTTGGGGGGGGGTCGGTATTTATTAAAGGCACAACATACATTAAAAAGACATAACAGATGAGTGGCACTTAGACTACTGCTACTTTGGCAACTAGTACATTTATAAAAAAAATTGTTCAGTATAAGCAATCGATATGAGATGACTTCACTGGTGGCTCCCTTCAACTAAAGCTCAGTGCAGATTATGAAAAAAGTTAATTCAAACTATATTTAATACTGAAATTAGGGAAGCAACGTTAAATTGAAAGGTTATCTCTCTCTCTACCGCCACCTTGAGGTGGGGGTTTGAAGGTACACATGAAATTGTGAGGATTATATTGATAGGCACAATGACACAATTACAGTAATCTCACCATTTAGTGTGTAATAAACTATGGTAACATAAAACTAATATTAAAATAAACTTGGTAAAAAATATCCATTATTAGTGCAGAATTGAGATTGTGTATCATGCAAAGGCACATGCTATTCTCATGGAAGGATTTCCCCCCCTGTTTGTCTTGTTTTAGTTATGGCTTTGCATAGCTTCTAACTTAAACCCAGAACAAACTTGGCTTTAGTGCACTTTGGTTTTGTTTTACAGCTCTTGCAATGAGGTGGGGGGTTTTACATCCGGACGGATCCTTGCAGCAGCAGGCATTATGTTTTCACATCTTTCTCTGAAACTGCGAAGCTCTTTATCCACACATGGTCAGATAAAGCCACTGAATAAAGAATGAGGAACAAGAGTTAGATAAAAGAAGAGTTTTAAAAAAGGTTTGTCTTTATGACATCACTCACCTCTGTGAGGTTCATCTCCGCTACTCCTGATCCCTCTTTGTCAAAGTGCTGAAAGGATCCTGTCAAATTAAAATGTGTACCACATTAACAGTGGTTTGGCAGCATTTGCTAAGTTACATCAGGAGCTTTTTTTTTTTAACACATTTTCTCATGCTAGAACCACTAAAATCACTTCTATGTGATGGACCAATGCAAAGTATTCAAAATCTCTACAGTACGAGGTAATTTGAACATAATTTCCAAATGATTTCTATCTAAAATGGCTTACAGCATATGTAGTATTCATCCCCTTTCGGTGAACATTTTGAGACATGTCTCAGTGCTACTAGTTCCTTTGGGGAATGTCAACCAGCTTTGGTTCTAAATTGGATTTAGGTCCGGGACTTTTACTGAGCCATTCTAAGCTTATTACAGGCCTAAATCAGGGATGTGCACTTTTATCCTCAAGAGCTAATTTCTTGCATGTTTTAGATGTTTCTTTGTTCAAACAAAACTGTTTGAGGTGCCTTAATTACCTTCTCTCTGACATGTTAGATAACTGATGGAGGATAAGCTGTTCCTGTTCAGTTAAACAACATTTAATCTTATTTAGTAAATTCATTCAACCAATAGATGTACTTGTCTGACTTTTATCATGGGCAGAAGACTGTAAAAACTTTGCTGAGTTAGGTCTTGTAATGAACTTTGACTCAAATGTTAAACCAGGGAATCGTTTAAGAACAGACCAGAAGAAAAAGGCTCTTTTGAACGAACATCAGACACAGATCTAAACCATTTCTTCACAGCTTTGGCCCCATCTTAGGCTTTTGACACCAGTAACAGATTTTCTTCCAGTAATGTCCTGCACATGGCAGTCCTGCAGGCACACATGTATGCCAAAGAGTTTGATTTTGGTCTCAGATAAGTAGAGCACCTTCTTCCACTGGTTTTCTGTTACCCACTGTTTTCTGTCTTTTTTTTTTTTTTAGCTAAACGTAAACAAGACTTTTTATGGATTTCTTTCAACAACAAAAGATCCCAGATTGTAAGTGTATTATTGACAGATTCCCCACTTGAGCAGTGAGTCTCTATAGCTCCTCCAGAGTTACCCGTAAGGCTTTCGACTACTGATTAATCATGAGATGCTTGAGGCCAAAGGTCCACTTCTATATCTGTAATTCTTTTAAAACTTTGTAACAACTTGATTTCTTAATGTTTGGCACCATTTGTGTTGGTATAAAATACATTTTTGTGTGTGGTTATAGCATGGGGAAATAAATAAAAAGCTTTAACGATATGGCTAGTCTTACAAAGTACATATATTTTAATAATCTTTATAAAGAATTACTCACTGAACATTGCTTCAAGTTTGACCAAGCAGCAGATGAAGTTATCAAAATCAATAAGTTCGTTCTCAGCATACCGGGCCACCAGTATCTGATGCAGCTGATTGTTTAGTTTGAAGCCTGTACAGAGACATAGTATAAGTTAAAATTACAAAGTTTTTTTTTAACTTATCTAAAGCATTACTGTTTATGTTGGCCAACAATATGGCCATGATCATTATACCTGCTGCTTCCACAGCAAGTCGCAGCTCATATGAGCTCATGGCGCCTGACTTGTCAAGATCAAAGTCCCTGAAAATGACCTGGAAAATAGAGGCACAATTTAAAAAAGAAGTATAGAGATTATCATCTCGGCACCAATTTTCTTTATTTCTTACCAGCCACTTTCGAATTTTGTTCCACAGGATCTGGAATTCAACCAATCCTAAACGAGCACTGCCATCTTTCTGGCAAATATCGTCAAGGCATCAAACAACAGACAGTTTCAAAGAGTTCGAGAGCTGACAAAAAATGCACAGATTTCCCTAAAATGATCAGCGGTAAACTAGTTTATTGTTGGACAATAAATCAAAAGGATACATCCATCAGGTTGACCATGGTTCTGCATGATTCTATACTGAAGCCATCAGTCTGTAGATCTTTGTCTGAAACAGCATCATTTTAGATTTAAAGTTTGATCAAAGTAGAAATAAAGGTTTATGAGGCAGTTTGAGAAATCATGTACAAACTGAACTCTGACAGATACACTGATGAGCAGTAGGAACTTAAAGCAGCGCTCAGTAACTTTTAGCCACTAGGGGGGGCTAGATCTGTAACCTTTAGATTAACATGAGCCGGTCAGCAAGGGATCCAACCCTCTAAAGTTACATAGGTGTGTTTTTGAGGAGAGTATATCAACCTGAAGAATCATTTAATACTTCTCAAATGAAGCTAAAAGATGGGTCAAAAGTTACACAGTGTTTCTTTAACACAATTGTTATAGAAATGTCATGAGAGCTGAACAAAACTACATTTCGTTTTGTATACAAAATGACAATAAAGTTTGTCTAAGTAAGTTAAACAGAAAACTCACGGCGGGTGACCACTCTGTTGAGAATTGTCCTGAGCTCACGAACAGAGATCTCCATGTCCTAATAAACCACATAGGGAGGGAAATAAGCAGGAATTTCTTTTTTGTTTTTTAATCACATTAAAATCCTGATTTCAGCTTTGCGGTTCTAAACCTTAAAAATGATGGAATCCAATCATAAATCCAATTTCTTTAAACTTCCATTTCATCTTATGACCTACCTCTCCTGCTAGTTGGGCAAACATGGACTTAAAGGAGTCGTCAATATCATCTTCTGTTACTTCCTCCTACAATAAAAATAACTATTAAAAAAAAAAGACATCTATACTTTTCCAGCAATTACTGCAGAAAAGAAAAGTCAGCTCCAGCTCAGCATTCCTGATGCACACCTCATCTTCAAAATCAGCAGTTACTTCATCATCCAGTTCTCTGCAACAAAAGTAAATATTTAGTTTGTATGGTTTATAAACACTAAAAAAGAATATGTGAGAAGATACTTACTCTGTCTCTGATTGCTTTTCAGTGAAAACCCTGAGTACAAAGTCCGCCTCTTTGCCCGGCTCAAAGGTTGACGGCACGATGAGGTACTCCCCGGGGGGCAGCCGCAGGCGGGTGCTCACCTCACGCAGGTTGATGAAGGTCTCTGATCGGGCGCACGATGAGTGACTCAAGAAGAAGTTTTTTTTCAGGTGGACATTTTGGCAGCCTCTGTACTGAGGGCAGCAGGAGACAAATGACTTAATGTGGGTTTTTTTTTATGATTACACACCAATTAATTTTAAACAATGAAGTGTGCTTACATTGTGATTTCCTTACTATCAGTTGTAATTTAAGGAGCTTGTTAAAAGTATATGCAACCTTTTACACGCCAAGAACAAAATACATTCTTCAAAACAATTTTTTTTTAAACAAGTTTTTCTTTTCTTGTGTACATTTTTTATGTGCAAGCAATTTCTGCTGACTCTCCTGTCCAAGCTCAAGGGACAAAAGATGAAAGGAGAACATGTATTTGAGACTTTTTAGAAAACCATAAGAAGCCATGTTGAGCTGCACACCCCTATGTAGGGATGAGAAGTCAGGTGAGATTCCTCTTGCAGCAACTCACATGTTTTCTTTGTTGTTACAGGATGACAACAGCTAATTACATCTTAATGATAGAGCAGCTTTAGTGAATGTTTTTACAGTTTTGGTGCAAAGCTTCAGTCATCGAGTGTAACTAAACACAACTAAACCTGGTCTTATCCATCCAGTGGGTGAGCGGCAGGTTACACCATGGAAGGGTCACCAATCCATCGCATTTTACTGCACAAAATAGTGCAGCCAAGCGCACCACTGAGCAGCCTTTGAATTAAGACATTCTATAATCATGGCCGATAATGTAATGACTTCCCAGTATACTGTAGTATAATTTTGGCAACAGCGTATAACATCACATGTTGGTAATTACTGTCACAGAATGTCCTATTCTAGTGAACTGCATTGAGGGAACTAACAACCAATTGGTCTTTACATAAATAAATTAAATATTTTTTCACACATTAAATCATGTATATAAATTATGCAAAGTTAGGAAACACACCAATAAATCTGACCTGATTATGACCCTGCACTCGTGTAAAATTAAATTGTTTTCTATTGGCTGTCCTTTTTAGGAAAGTGATTTTGATTGAAATGTGACAGATACTCCTCCATCGGCCATTTGAAGCCAGCAGAAGCAGACCATGGACGCGTTTTGCAGAGTATTAGTCAGACTGCACTATTTCTGCATACAGTTTGGTTTACTTTTAGTGCTCCTCTTTACCCTGCATATATTTATTATAAGAAAAAATCGACTTTATGATGTTGGACATGTTAATTCTGAAATAGTCTCTTGACAGAAAAAGGGCTGCATTATACAAATCCTAAAGCTTGGTTAATGTATTATGCCAGATTGGCTGCAGCAATTACATTTTCAGAGGATTATAGCCAATAACGTATGCTATTTGGATGTTGCCATTATTATTAATAAAATAGCTTATTAAATTATTTGTTTCAACATTTATCTTTTCTGCTCTAATTCCAGATTTGAGAAAAATAGTCAAAGCAAGTTTTTGTTGTTTTTTTGCTGTGTTTCAGATACTTTATCTCCATCCAGACCTTTAAAGACCTACTGCGATCATCTCTTTGCAGTACACCCAGTGGGATGTCTGATGCTCATCTCAGGAGGCTAGACTTTGGGAACCACTGCAGCCTCAGATGTATGAAAAGGCTAATGCTAAACTGCTAAATGAGTCATGATTGTGAAAATTCACAGCTTTGTTAGTGCTAAAAGAGATCCTAAGCCTACCTCCTCTGGAATCTGCAAAAGGAACACAAAAGAAAGACTGTTAAAAGATGACAACAGGAAGCAGACGTTTCAATGAGAGATGGGTTAAAAATGGAAGCAATGTGTTCCAGCTGTTTTCACCTCATAGAGAGCAAATCCGATGGTGTGCATGTCCTGACCGTGGCGTCGGTACCTGCGACGGTCCTTCTGCATGAGGGCTACCAGAAAACTGCACGCTACCTCATCGTCCTCTGGGTCATCGTCCTCTTCCAGCAACGTGATCTTATACTGAGGGTTTATCCAAAAGGTGTCTACACAAACACAGCCTTTATGTCAAGCCTCTTTTATCAAACATTGCAGATTTCAAACACATTAGCATTAGAATGTGTTATTTAATCATTAAATCTGCAGAAATAGTATTATTTATAAAATAATTTCATTTTAGATTCTTGTTTGTTTATTATTTTTGAAGCATTGATTCTTTTTAAAGATACTATTTTAGGTACAGGGGGTAGTTCGCCCAGGAGCTAAAGGGGCTAGGACCGCCCCTGTTATCAAACCAGTACATTCAACAGTAGTTTTTTTTATAATGAAATTCTAATTGATTACATAGATAAAGGCTTTTATTGTAGACTTTCAGTCATTTTGACCAAAACTTACTGGGGTGGTTCCTGCACCCCCCGGCGGTGCTGCCTCTCCTCCATGTGCCGTAGAACTTTATGGTGTTCCAGTGACTAAGGCTCTCCTCACTCAGAGCATCTGCAGTCAAGTTACATATCTCCAGTCGAGAAAACTGCCTCAAGAAATCACTAAAGGACATCCTAGAATGAAAGTTTAAAAAAAAATTAAAAAAAACGGCAAATTTTACATGATGCATAGGATTTACTTATAAAGCAAGATGAGATCATTTTAGATTGCATTAGCAAATAATTGTTTAACAAATTAAGCAATGCTTGTTTGCTCAACCCTAATACTATTTATTTTTTTTTAACCATAGACAGCTAGCCTAGCTAGCCAGATTGACGTACATTTTTAAAACTGTGCATCAGTCCTTAAAGGAACAGGTAACCAGTGGGGTTAAAGGGACGGAAATAGGAGTCATCACATACAGGTTGGAACCAAACAGATAATTACAGAAATCATGCAAAATGAAAAGATTACAGCAAAAATAAATCCAGCTCATTCGGGTAATAAAAGGCATCATAAAAGCATTGCTTGGGTGAGGCCAAAATCCTGACTCTAATGGTTACAAAAAAGCACTGCTGCACTATGGGTAATTCTGGTTCTAAGACCAACCTCCCACCTTCCGAGCTGTGATTGGTCTGGTCTGTTTTACAACATAGAGCCTGAGCCTTACCAGACTGATTTTCTGTGTCAATCAGTCTGGCTTAGTGAGCTATAGAAAAGCACTGTCTTATGTAAAACTTTACAGGTTTGGATAAGACATTGAGGGTTATCTTTGGCTACCCATCTTTGCATAATCTCTATAGATAATGTAGACTTTTTTTATAATTACATTGTTTTCTGAGATTACTCAACAGGATTTGTATGTCTACTATTTCAAAGGACTCAGACAGCCATAGAACAAGGTTGATTTAGTCCCTTAGAAATCCTCTAAGTATTGATTTAGCCAGATCTTAAATCAAAGCTACCAAAGTCCAATCCTCAGGGGCTACTATCCAGCAACTTTTAGATGCATCCCTTCTCCAACATTCTTTAAAATAATGACTTTCTTGCAGCCGAATGATATGTTAACATGGAATCCAGCCATTTTTATATGATTTTGATTTTAGATTTTTAATAGAAAAGACAAGTGGAGTCCAAATCCAGGGGCGGCATATTTAAGAGAATGATGCCGACATAAAACTACTTTTGTAGGATCAATATCTGCACAGCATGAATAGTATGCAATCTTTCCTCTCATTTTGAATAGTAGCTAAGAACTCAATCAGTGTCTCATATTTTAAACCAACGAAACAGTAAGTGATTAATAATTACAAAGCACACAGAGACCTCTTTATTTGTTAAGGTTGTTGTATGAAACCAACAAACCACCTCCAAAAATAAAAAAACATAAAAATCTACATCATTCATTTATCCCTTTATTTTCTTTTAGCATAAAAAAAATGATCTTACCAAAACTCTCCATCTTCCATGTTATGATGCATTTCTTCCTGCTCAGATTGATCAATCTCATCCCATTCATGGGAACTATAAATGAAAGACATGGAATAAAAAAAATAAAAGAAAATCCTACTAACTGTTCACAAAATTAACCACTGATAGAAAAGCTTTCAGAAAACATTTACAGGCCATTTTTATTCATTTAATTTATTTCACAAATTCAATTCAAAAGGTGTAGTTCATTTGTAGATTTAATAGACTAAGGCTTTAGTGTTATTTTCTTATAATTTTGGCTCACTTCTCGTGGAGGCCTAAAATTCAGTTTCTGAAAAGAAATATAAATATTGTGTTAAAAACTGTAATATCAAAAACTGAGTTATGGCCTACACTTTGATTGATAAGAATGCTAAAGATATAGATTTCCAGCAAATTCAGCAATACCCTCCACAAGGACAGTGAGCCACAAAAGTTCAAGTTAAATTTCTTTATTTAAAGAGGATTTTATCCAAACATAATGAAAAGTTAAGTGAAAGGAAAGAATACATCCTCTGTTTTTAATGAATACATCTAATATACAAGTTGAACTTTTTTAATTTAAGTATAGAAATAAATAACTTTTCAAGATGCACCTGGATTTCCCGCTCTGGACAAACTCACCTGTCACTCCAGGCACCAGTCCACTCCACCTGGCCCCACGGGTTACGTATTCGGATTAGGCGCACCATGTTGCCACGGTAATCAACCTGTAACCCAGCATAGCGGTAGTAAATGAAAAGCCACAACTTACATGCTTAATGTCCACATATTCGTACAAAGACAGACCTCCTGTAGTCCGGTGACTGAGTAGGCGTGGCCTTTCACAAGCTTCTTAAACGTCACGGCCTCCATATCAAAGGCACTGGTGATCTATTTGAACATGTGAGCAGAGATTTTTGACATGGAAATAATTGGATTTTTAAGGCTCTATTATGCTTGATGGGCGTTCGTCGTTTATCTAATATCCTCGCTAACTCCAAGGGGGCGTGTACAACACAAACACCAAGTTTGTAACACCATAGCACATGTGAAACACAGCTGTTTCCTACTCTTTCAAAGTGTCTACCTGTCTTTCAAAAGTGATAGTAAATTGCTCGTCCACCATGTTTTTTTTCAACGGGAACTGTCCCTGGAGTTACACATTTTCTAGTTGTGATGTTGTACAATACCACGTACAAGTGGGTGGAAGCTAAAATGACCTTTTATCAGCGAAGAGACGCATCAAGCATAAATCAAGCAATAGGCACAGGGTTGAAATAAGCACTTACGTCGATAGAGCAGCCCAGCAGGGATCCCCTTTCCAAGGCTTTACTGATTATCCTGTAGAGATCTCTGGGGGCCTTGGACAGCTCGTACATCTCAGACACTCCCCCTGTGAAGTCCTCGAAGCCCTCAGTGGTGCTTCCTCCAGAGAGGGCCTCATAGGAGCCATTCAGCCTGATAACATATTAGAGAAACACATCAGATTGATTGCTCTCAACAGCAGCACTTCAGAATCTCCCTCTAAACAAACTGTTGCAAGCGTTGCTAAATACCTACTTTGCATAAGCCTTCTCTAAGAGTGCACTCCAAAATTCATTGCCCTCAGCTGAATGGACAAACATCAGCTCTCCATCTTTGACAGGCAGTCGATCGTCAATCACGACGTCCACCCATTCGCCAAACTGCCAGAACTGAAATGCAAGGGAGAGCAATACATCCCTCTATCGAGTTTGCTTAAGGAGGAAAAAAATAAATAGTATAAATTGAAAAAAAAAAGAACCTGGAAATGGAAGATTCCAGCATAGTCATCTTGGAAGGACTGGCCGTGTGGAACAACCCGATGAAGGAGCCTCTCATTTAGGGTTAGAGAGGCAATGGCTGCCAGGAGCCAGCAGTCACCTGCAGGGGACGAGAAATGTGCATAAAACCCCCCATCAGAACCAATTCGTACACCTTATTTTTACAGGAAGTTCAAAACTTACCAAGAGCCCCCTGACAGATGTCGGTTCTGGTGGCTCCGCCGACTATAAACTGAGGGTCCTCTGTCAGCTCCTATAAAGATAAAAAAAAAAAAGACAGAACAATCAAATACCTTCTAAAGATCATTTCCTGCCCTGCCTTCCCCCCATGAAGTGTTACTCCTGTTTATATTGAGGAGCTGTAAACAAATGTCAGAGAGGGGAGAGGTCCAACAGCTGCAGTGGTCTCCAAAGCGCTTGTCCCTACAGGCCCGATTATGTCCGGGTTTGCAAGACATAAACTGAGACCTGATAGGTTTGCTAACATGCAACAATCCAGATTAACTTCTTGCTTTGAAATATCACATGTCCATCAATCAATGTTATCTGCGTTCAGTCTGGAATGTGGAAAAAGCAAAACAAAAACAAAAAAACACAACAACAGACTAGTTACTTAAGATATTAGAACAGGAATATACTCACTTTTTTAGATACATTTTTAATAAATAATTTTCTTTTTAATTGTTCAATTAATGATTCTCAATCATTTCAAGTTTTTATTTTAATGAGTGGCCAGAATCTTCTTTGGTTTTATGGAGCAAATGTTACCAAAGGGGTAAATATCAACATCCCATACCTGCTGCTGCTCACTGCAGTTCAGCTGAATGAAATCTAATAAACTTTTCCCACTATAATTAGTAAAACAAATCTGGATGTTTGAGAGATGTTCCTGTCACAAAGAAATCATTATAGTCATGGATTAGAAAGTAAAAGAGAGTCTCTAACACAAAACTTATGAGGTGAGCCTGATATAAAACTAAAGCAGATAGTTTGTTGATTAACAGGTTAATATCAGCCTGTTAGCCTTTGCGTTGCAAAATAAAGAGCAGCAAATTGGCAAAAAAGATATATTTAAAAAAAAAAAAACACACACACACATGCTTGATTTAAAACACATTTGTTGAGTTTTTGAAAATAGAGCGCTTTGTCATTTTTGCTTAAAATTTCTATCTACATGCTGAAAAATTCTGGTGGATCTGGAAATCTTAGTTTTAGCACCTAATATTGACTAACAGTCAGTTTTGCATAAATCTTCCATTAATATTTTCTTACCGTGGGTCTCATCCACTCCACATCTCTAGTTTTAGATGAATAGGGTGCAAGTTCTTTGAAGCCCAGAGATGGAGGCTCTGCAGGGAAGCAGGGGTCCTCAAAGAGGCGGCCTGCCTCCAGACACTCCTGCTTCAGAGCCTCATAGTCCTGGCTGGCAAAGGGAACAGCCTGCTCCTTGGAACCCATGCCCTCCGACCGAAGCCTGTTGGCATATATGCTTGCAGATATCCCACCAACCGAATACATACTGGGAGCAAGACAGAAACATTGGAGCTGATGGGGGGGTATGCACAGCACAATTTATAAATAGCAACAAGCTAAATAGTGGCATGCTTATCTGCATGTTACAACATGTCATACAGTGGTGTAAGACTGTTTAGAAAAAAACAAAAATCTGCTCTGGGCAAAGTTACTGCTAGTAGCACAAAGGCTGCAGCAGCTTGTGCAGTTAAGGCCAAAGCTCCCACATATTAATCACTAAAAATGATAGTAAAAATTATTCAACCTACAGTAGTGTATACAGAGGATGATCTGCTTTAATCGGGAAAATAATAAACCAATAGCCAGAACTATATGGAGGTTTAAATCAAATTATATTCATGTGTTAGAATGGCCTGAACCATTCAAACTCCAAACAGAGAATCTATGACTGGATCTGAAAATTGATGTTCAGAGATACTCCCATCCTGTTTGCCTAAGTTTGAGCAATTTGGGAGAGATAAATTAGCAAATAGTTCTGTCTCTAAGAGAGTGAAGCTGATAGAAACTAGAACGAAAAGACCTGCAGCTGAAGTAAAAGGTGGTTCTTCAAATTTTTAAAGCAGTGGACTTGATATAAATGCACATTATAGATTTTAGGTGCAAATTCTGTGTTGACCTAACAGTTCTAATAGAAAGAAAACCCTAACATGTGTAGCTGTCAGTGTTTACTATTTAGTAAAATCTAAAATCAAATCAAATGATATTTAGTCTTTCCACATAAATAAGATATGTAAATATACAATAAAAAGGACTAATGATTTGAGTCTAGAGTCTTAAAAAGTACTAGCAGGCCTTTTCTTGGCTATATTTTTTTCCACATTGGCTATGGAATGACAAAAAAGAAATAATAATAAAATAAAATAAAAAATAACCAGAATAAAAGGCCAGCAAAAGACATTAAAGAAACAGAAAGTATTCACACATTAGAAAATACGAAAAGGGTTTAATGGGACACAAAGTGGAGCAATATCAACACAGCAAAGCCAAAAATAAGAAATACCAAGAAACATGCTAGAAATGGGATACCTTTTCTTTATGGTCAGGCTGAAGTAGAGAGTTAAATAAAAAGAAAGGAAAGGATTATTCATTCATTTGAAGTGGGACCAAATTAAATGACTGACAATGCTTTTCAATTATAATGAGCTGAGTCTGTAAAGAACACTTGAATGGACGTACAGTGCCTGACAAGTGTAGAGAAAACAGAAGTTCAGCTTATTTTATGTGATGGACCAACAGAAAGCAGTAAATTAATGTGAGGTAATTGGAAAGATGTGTAGAGGCCATGGCAAATGTGAAAGGAGACAGAATCCTAAACATAGAGAAACATAGAGAAATGCATTTGTTTGTGTGTGTGTAACAAAACGTAAGTGTCCAGGAGTCACACAAAGTTAGGCAAGTTATACTCTTAACAAATTATATAAAGATGTGTGTATATCCAAAGAGGCACTCATTAGGACGTTTTTTTTTTAAACTGTACAAAGAGGCCTGCCCCCAAAAGAGGCCCCTTGGGACCATGGAGACTCAATGGGAATGTCCTGTCTCTGCAATCTCAAAAAAGAAAAAGACAGAGATCTTAATATATCTTTTTCTCTCTAAATGTGATGGCAAAAAAAACAGCTAATCCATGAAGTACAGCACTCTAGTGATATCATCTTTAGGACTTCAACCCTAAACAAATATCTTAAAACAATAAATAGCCTCATGACTACAGGGGTCAAACACATACTGCACTAATAAAACGCTTTCTGAAACCCTTTGTGGATTCTATCCAGCTGCTGTAAAAAGTCACACCTAGTCAGGCCTGCAGTTTCAGCCCAAACTGTTTTGCACCTGTTCAGTAAAACATGCAGGCCTGTCCTCAGCGACCTTTCAGTGGGTCTACTAAATATCTCTCATAACGTTAAATCAAAGCTGCACCAATTTCCCAGCAAAAATCCGCCGCTATACTCATTCTGATTGCCTCACTGCGCAGCTGTCACTTCCTTGTCTATTATTATCAGAGACAGAAGGAGCAGCGGATTAAAAGCAGCTCTGCGCCACCGGCACCGTTAATTAGAGACTGTGCGTAAATTAAGCATTTGAATGAAACTTACCACCGGTAAGGAGGCAGATTCAGGCTTCCTGAATATAAAACAGAAAGCGTTTATTGTGATTATCTGTGAATCAGTGACTTACAGGGGGGGGCGGTCTGAGTGGTCCAGCCCTCCCAGTCTGTGTTCACACGTTCCCACACGCAGTGCAGTAAAGACCAGTCCACTTAAAGGGGAGGGCGCACTGATGGCCACCACTACCACACTGTGACCACTGGGGGCGCTAAAGACTGAATAGGTGGATTGTTATGACATACATCCATATGTTTTATATATATTAGGTGATTAAAGAGAATAAATTACATTTATATATTTAATTATGGGCATTGACACCTTTGTGAAAATACTTCACCATTACCGTAAATTTGGAGTTAAACACATTTTTGTGGATATCTTAATATAGAGAATTCAAAAGTGCTCAAGAAAATAAATGTATTTTCTAATCAAATTGTTGCATAAATACTAAATACATAATAAAAAAATAAAATAAAATAAAATAAAAAAAAATAAAAATTAAAAAAATTAAAAAAATTAAAAATTAAAAAAAAATTAAAAAAAATTGTTGCATAAATACGAATGAAAAACAAAAAAGTTTTTCCCAATTTTTAAAGAATACACAATTTTTTTTAAATTGTTTAATACGTATAGAATGCTTTGCTAAAGTAATTGTGACCCTAAAAAATTCCCAGATATTTTCACTCCAAATGCAAATCCTGCCAGAATTGAATGAGACAGCTTAACATGGTGTATATTGTAAAGTGAAAGAAAATCAAGTTTTTTTTTCTGTTTTACAGATAAAATAAAATAAAAAAAGTTAATATGTATTCAGCCCCTCTAAACATTTTAAGCTTTAGTTGATTGCAAGTTCTTCTCAATTCAGGAAAGTTTTTTCATATGCTAAATTTATAATTCGCTCTGACATCAGACTGAAGCAGGTACATATCACTTCAGATATAGTTTGCAGTAAATGGAAGGACAGATGGAAAGTCATGATGATTATTTCATTAGATAAGTACACTTCAGATATAAACCAGATATATATATATATATATATATATA